GAGCACAAAATTCCAAAGAGAATGACACCGAAAACGCGGGGCCCTGACCCAAAACCAACGCGCAGTACTGCCGCGAATATAGGCAACGTAAGCGCGCTCTGACAACTCAGGCGGCATCTGACGAGCCTGGGCCAAGTATGGATGTGTACCAATTAAGAAATAATCATTTATAAAATTAATTACAATATCCCTAAGTTAAACTATTAATTATTAACTAATATTTTCGTTAAGAAAAAATAATATAAAAGAACATTTATGAATTTTTTCTTCATGTGTAATAGAAAGGTATAGTTCGATAGATGAAATTTTGAATTTTTGTTTTGTTTTGTTTATTAGATGAAAGTGTTCAAAACAAAAATTTTGTTTAATTTCAATATACTATACACGATTGACGTTCTCACGAAAATAACTGCGGCAGTGTCCGACACTTGCCTATCAATTTTTAATGTGGGGGCATTGCTTTTGGAGTGACCCTCGTATTTGGGACATATATATATATGCAAATGAAAAAGCAGATCCATTTTCAGCAGATGCAAGGATTTTTTATTGTCACAATGTTCAGACTGGTCCGGTCCAGTTACCAGTGGGAAAACCATGACTAACGACACACAACATAATATCCTCTTCCCCATGCACCTTCATGTTTTGAAGAAAATTATTATGTTTAAAAGTTGTCACATCCTGCCCTGCGAAATACCGGTACCTATCAGGATTATATGTTCAACTGCTAGTTGAAAGCCGGTATTCAGTTTAACATTTGTGGTACAATATTTAAGTATTTTGTGTTAACCGACTCTCACGTCTTAACATTGACATTTGTAAGGACCAGTGAGTGCAGTGTGTTTTGTCATTAGGCGTCCTCTTCATTCTGCCATGTATCGAAATCTACACCAAGGTAGACCTGCGTTCCTGCGTGTACGATATTCCTCCGCAAGAGGCAAGTTTGGCTGTGCCGGCAGCACCCACCGCCATGTACGCAGGGCTGTCACCTTTTAGGCCTACTTTATTGTAGAGGAGGAGTAGGAGTTATTTCCAAAATTTGACCAAAATTTTTATAAGAGTGTTGCTTTAGCATCATGTAACAATGAAGTCTGTTGTGAAGTCACTAAATTATTGTTTTAAGTAAATGAAAATGGTTTCAAAGACTAACCTAATTCATCGTTGACATTATTCCTTCATTATTATTTTTTTCCATTCAGTGTTAAGGCAACAAACACAATTTAAAAAAAAATATATTCAGAAAATTTAGATGTGCCGAGCTCTTTTGAAATAACCACAAAAGGCTGAAATTTAAGATGAAGTTGGATTTTTCTCCCCATTTAAATAACATTAGAATTGTCATTCAATTTTAGTCCACTCCCTTTATAAGGAAAAGTAGCAGCCTTGTGAGATCACGATGCTCCGGCTGTGTCTTCCTTCGTTTCAAGTTTTGAACCTATTAGCTGATTTTTTTAAAATTCTGTATGAATGCCGTGCGATTTGAATAAAGTCGAACCTCTTACCTTTTAATTCCCGTATTCTTATAACAACATGGTAGATGCATAAACTTGTGAGGTGTATACATAATGTGGTTTAATAAAAGAATATCGATTTAACGCCAAAAGTGATCTTTCATGTGACAGATTAGTACATGATAAAAATGTAATTTTTTTTGCATAATTTAAAAGATTTTTGGATATGGCAGTTCTTATCAGAATACAAGGAAGATATTTTACAGTGTAACTGGAGTTCAGTTGACTTTGTAATGAAATATTTATCTGCAATTACTGAATATCATGGTTAATGGGACATACAGAATTTAAAAAAAAAAAACACACACATTTGGAATGTATGTGTACTCCATGGGGTACACCTTCTATTCTTCCTGGTACTCTATGTGAGCCACATGACAGCCCTGTGCATATGGATTTTGCGTAGTGAAGCTTATTGGTGGCTGCTGGCTTGTGTGTATCCATGTCTGCCCCGTAGTCTACCCTGACGAAACATGAAGGATCAAAACTCTTGAATACCCCAGTCTGTGTGAGCTCGTAATGCATCCATCTACTGTTGTGTGTTTAGCTCTAAGAATAGAAATTTACGCAACCCTACAAAGTCAGACTTATTCTTCGTTTTGTACGCTCGCTATTATGCGATAAGGTTTCCTTTTTTAAGAAAATGGAGAAGGCGATTTGTTATGTACTTATATGTTTCAAATTTATACTTTTCTATTAACACTGCTACTACAGCAACATATATTAATATTAATCGTAACAACACAATTGTTTTTAATGCCTTCAGAGGTCCGCTTACCAAACGTAGTAATATTCCCGTGCTTTCTGTTCCCATAAGATAACCATCTGTCTGATGCATTGGACCATGCCATTGATGTTCTAGACCGATGGATTATCCAAGAAGTACGAGCGAGTGAATGTCTCACATACCAAGACATGATGTATACTTGTTAAACAGACAGCATTTTTAAACCAATTATGTTGTATAACCTCACTTTTAGTGTCCTAATGTCTCTGTCCCCTCCTGGTTTTTGTCTCTAGACCTTTAATTTACAACCCCAATTGTTCAACAGGCATTTTCTTTATCTTGCCCTGCATCGACGCCTATGCTAGGGTAGACCTTCGCACCCGTACCTACGACGTCCCTCCCCAGGAGGTAAGCTGTGCCCACAACATACAGTAGGCAAGCTAGGAAGATTCACGAGTGATAAAATTGTGGGGATTATGCTACTAGTGGGTTAAAAATAAAACCTTATAAATTATTGCAAAGAACGTTTCATCATTTTATAAGTAGGTTTTCATTTTTGGAATTAAAGGTTTGTATGCATACGCATTACTATGTTGCCAGTGACAACACAAGATTGTTCTAAGCCTGATTTCCTGGCTTGCCTGTTGTAGTTGATCCTTTCTCAAGCAGCCTTGATTCTCAAACAATTGTGATGGCACTTATGAATGCAAGGTGTTATTTTGAGAATCTTCATATTCTTGACAGACATCAAGTCAATGTTAACAATATATTTTTTAATAGTGTTCTGATCTATATTAGCATATATAACCTGAAGGAAACACGATGGACGGTCTCGTTACATGTACAATTTGAGGTATTTGTGACAGTGTGAGTTTATATGGTGGTCGTCTGGGTTGTTGCACCTAGTAATCTTCTGGTTGTGCGGCAGTGCTTTGGAGGATCATGGCGTGTCCATCTCTAGGGTTAAATTGTGGAGTGTTGGTAAGATGATGCGTCATATAGGGTTTGGTGTTGGATAAAGCCCTGAAAAGGGCCTTGTTCGGTCCTGCTGGCATGGTCTTGGCTCCACCTCCAGCTTTGATGGCTCTGGTTGGCCACTCAATCCTCTACTTTACCCATAACTGCTTCCCAACACTTCTCACTTCAACCCTGAAGATGAAGGCAACAGGCGCAACAATCCAAAAGATTATTATATAATTGTCATTAAACACGGGGAACCAAGTTCGTGACAAGTTACATGCCACGCTACTGGTGTTTGAGAATCATAGAATCAGTTGTGTGCACGGCATGTTTGTGAACCACCCTGTGTGTTCCGTCCTGATTTGGAACCTGCACGGTAACACTTTTGGTGTGCCAGTAGTATGTGTCTGCTTGTTTGGGTTGTCAGGCCATCGCATCAATATTCTGTTTTGTTCTATATGGATTAGTATTTATTGTATATAAATTGGATCGTGATGTGAGTATGACAGCTTTCTACCATACACTTTTGTTTCTCAATTTTTCACTTCTGTATAGTGTTTTCAACAACTGTTATTCTGAATTGGGTCCC